TTCAGGTTTGACTTCATAGCTATATCTGCACCATCCATTAAAATATTCCTTTTTTGGCTTTATATCATCAACCTTTATTAACTTCCAATAATCAAAGCAAATAGCCATTTTACTATTGTGAACATTAGACCTGTAATAATTAATCAGAATCTCTTTTCCTATACAGTTCTCATAGTATATCTCAGTTACTCCTTGTCCAAATGATCTGAAAAGACAAAATACATGATAATAATTACTATATTTTTTATTAATTAATATTTACAAAGTTGATTTTACTCAATCAGTCCATTGTTGTGAAGTTTTATACGATCTAATTATAGATAAATTATCAAAATTTTTTTCTGTCTCAAATGCCTTTTCAAAGTCAAAAGGAGTGTTATAGCTGATATATGCATAATAATTTTTAATATACTTTATTTTATAATCAGAACAGAAATTAGTGGGTTTAGGCACAGATTTATTAAAAATCTTGTCTAAGATAATATAGGTTCATAACATATTTAATAATTTATAGTATTTTTAGTGAATTCTAGCAATTCTTTAGCAACTTATACTAAATAATATCAAATTTATACAGATTTACTGATTAGCGAATAGTTGATTTATAGCTGATTTGTAAGACTACATACTAGTAAATCCTTTATTAAATTATGCTCTTGTTCAGGATAAAATATTGGTATGATTCAGTTAAATTAGATCTAATCATCATATATGGTTAAATTATAAATTTTGTATCACATGAGATTTCTCTAGTTTTTAGTCAATTCTCAAAACTTTCTTGCAACCTTCTTGTAACTCTTACTCAAGCCTACTATGTAAATAATATACACCCTTGTTATATATTTAACCTGATTCTAATCTGATATATTTAGTATATATAGACGACTAAGGCCTATAAGGAAGCTATGGTAGGTGTTAAAGCGAGGGTTAAAAAGAAGAAGAGAAGTCTTATTGAAGAATATTATTATGAAGAGTTCTCTACAGAATTTTGAAAAGAACCTGATATTTATTTTATGATATTCTTCTTCCAGTCATGTATATGAAAAGATATATCCCTAAAATGCTTATTGTTTCTAGAAACATAACGTTTTAATGTAGCTAATATAAAAATAACATCATCTAATATGCTGAATAGAAGACAACCATCAAGAATCCTAAGACCAATATCATCATCCCCAACTACCTTAGGATCTAGAACTACTTTAAAAATTCTTTGAGTAATTCCTTTTCCTAATAGATTATGTCTAACAATACCTTCTCTATCAAGATTACCTTCTTTTGGTTCTAAACCCATGACTCCCTCATTTTCTCAAAGTGTTGAAATGATTATATTTTTATTAATTATAATGAGCCAGATCAAAAGTGATTTTTATAGATAGTAACAAATAAACATTTATTTGACTGTAAGTATGATTAATAAAAATTAATAAATATCAATATCACTTGTAAAGCATGAAACATATTTTTATAAATTATATTAAGGGGGACGATCAAGATTAATTATATTTCAAGTATCCATCTTAATAAATCAGTTTATAAATCTCTTATGATTAACAGGAGATTAACCAGAGATAATAATATACATCTTTAATATCTCAGAGATTTGTTGTCCTAGTTATATATCCCAATCTGTTTTACACTATGTTTCAAATATCCTATCTGTCTCATCAGTGTCCTATCAATGTCTCATAACAATATTGGCCAGAGACACTTCACATGACGTATTTATATGAGATAATCAGCTAATCAAAGAATAGTTTTAACATATACGTTAGGTCTGATGTGCAAGGCAATTTAGCCAAAACATAGTTTAGGTCTAATTTAGCCAATACATGTTAATCGAACTGCGCAGAATTATATATAATAATCATATTTGTGCGATACGCCAAGAAAAATAGCATATGTCAAGCTAAAAATTCATAACACTAAAGAATCCAATATAGGCAGTATTATTTCACCTAAAAAAAACAATCCTCTGAAATGTACTAAAAAATAAAGATCGCGTAATATTTGTAACCAAAAGTTTATATAATATTAAAACGTGACGGACATCTGAAAAACAATACATATCAAGATGTATTTTTTCAATGTCCCAACCTCTGATTTATTCCGTATATCCGCCATATCTATTATATTCATCATCATCCAAATCGTTTTGCACTTCCTCTTCAAAATCATCAGAATCAGAGTCATCATTACATGAATTGAAGTCACCATCATGCGTATTATTTGATCCTAGCTGAAGACGCTGAAGCAAAGAGACCTCTTTATTCCTTTCTTCTTCTGACTTCTCAAAATACACATTATCAGCTAAAGAGACAATGTTCACTTTAGTGAGATTCATCTCATTAAAAAACATATCTTTATCAAACCACGTCTCTTCCTTGAAATTATCAGAAGAATTGCCATTAAGGCACTTTGCAGAGACATAGGCTAATAGGATAGGTGCAGTTGGAATGCTTACCTTAGCCTGCGTTGCTGAAACTGCCTCCAATGCATTAGTCTGATCGAAAGATTCAGTTACATGTGCGTTATAATTTGTAATGCTGATCATTTTTTAGTATTTAACCGAAGAGTCATCTATGCTAATAAATTTTTTAGGAAAACAAATTATAATATCTTGAATCTGATTGTCAGTTAAACTTGAGATTGCACTTGCATTATATGTTATTGCTTGGATTTTTTTTATTCCTATTCTCACAAGTAACATATAAATCTTTTTTGCTTTGAATGTTCTCTGACGCAAGTTTACATCAGTGATATCCGGGAGAAGTGCTTTTATCTCATTATATACCAATGTTCTTGCTGATTGATCATCAATTTTATTTACACATTTAATATCTTCAGTTCGATCCTCATATGCTTTATAGTAACAATACCAGCATAAATCTCTTTTTGTCTAACTTTCATTGCTATAACAAATAAATCGGCTATATTTTGTACTGTAATTTTGCTAGATCCTGTTATAATTACTTCTAGCAAGAATTCAGGAATTTGTATATCAAATACTTCACTAAATTTATTATTAATATTTTCTTTAATGAATACAGATAGATCGTGTCTTAAGACTTGCTCTACTCTTTTGTTGTATGGAATTTTGATTCCGGTATTTTGTGTTTGATCAGTAGACATTGATTCTAATCGGGTAGTTTTATGATCATGGGTAATTTCAATAATAGGATTTATCTCAGTAGAAATTGCATTTTGTATATCAGAAGAGGAAGATGTTTTTCGTACCAATCGTTGCCCTCGGCAAATCTTCTTTTCCCTATTTCTTTCTCTTGCCATATTACTAACCCTCTCCTTTTCCTGTAATTCCAAAAATTCATTAATTTCTTTCTAATCCGATGATAAAGTTCCTATAGGAATAGGAGATGTGAAAGATCGGCTATCCTTTTCCTGGTATGGATCAGAATCGGGTGTGTTATCGGAACTATTTTCTATTCGTTCAGGAGCAACATCAGAATTTGAAGTATTATCAGATATATTAGATGCTGAAGTATCATTAGAATTTTTCATTTTGGTAGAGGTGGTATTAACTGAAGATTGATTGATTCCCTTGGCATCATCATCTGATTTAACAATAAAGTTGTTCTTTTCATCGGTTTTCGATTGCTTCTGTTCTAATTTCGCAACTTTATCGTTCTGCTCCAGTTTCGCAAATCTGGATTCATGTTCTTCCAAAGCTTGTTTTAATTTTACGTTCTCAGCTTTAAGTTCATTGTTCTTCGGAAAATTTTTTTCTAAGTTCAGGAATTTCAGCATTCTCCTTTCTAAGTTCAGTAATCTCGGATGCAAGCCTAGAGTTTAATTCTCTCAAGGTATTGATTTTTAATTGATTGTTCGACATTGTTTTATTACAAAATAGGATATATTCAAAAGGATAATCGCACGAAAAAATATTGGTAAAAATCGCATTAACATTCTTTGCTTTATTTATTGTAAAAATTAATCAAAAGAATCAAATCTATCTATGGTTACATACTAGTATCTACGCTATAAATTCTCCACATATCTAAATCATCTAAACTACAACATTAATTATGATCCGGTTTTATTTGTTATCACATTCTGGATAGAATAAAAACGTTTATACGAAGCATGCAATCCTCAATGTGTTGTCCGTTATCTGGACTTATCTTTTTCAAACTCTAGAGAAGAAGGTTGAAAGTATATATTGCAGTGTTAATAAATTTCTCGGAAATCTGTACGAAAGAGTGGTCATAAGTTTGTAAGCCCAGAAGGCGGTTCATTGGAATGCATTGTCGCAAATGAAGTATTCATAACCTTAATTGCGTGTTCGGAGCTTTCGACTAAAATAAAGAATATTAATCATTATTTCTGATTGCAGGATTTGATTGAACCCAGTATGCGAATATTACCTTAACAATGCGCATTCGTGAATTTGAAAGCAGACAACTGTTAAAAATTTTTATAATAATGTAATAGAGTAAAACACTACATTTATAAAATATTTTTTAACCATACTGACGTGTGATCGGTTATCTTCCATTAAACTGATTGACGTGAAATCGATCAACAAAAATCTTTTTTTTCACCACTATTATTAAGGCAAGTTGAAATCAGATTACTTCTGGCGACCCACAATATCTGACACCCGTATGGCAGAGCGAGATTACCTTACTATCTAGTTAATTCCTGCGGTTGTTGTTTAGAGCAAGGCGTAGGCTACCCTCTTTGACCCTTTGTTCATTCGCTGAACTTACCTCATTGTAGATCACGCCTCCGTTCTTGTCTCTAGTATATTGGATGTAATACTTCCTACACCTGCAGAGCGAAGCTTAACACTTGCGTTATGTAACTCTCTGTAGCTGATGCTTGGTAGGAGAGTTGCGGAGGTACCCTCTTTGACTCATTGTCTCGAACAATCCTCATTGTAGATCACTCCTCCCGCTCTCTACCAGAAGCATTACATTAAGCCAGTATCTTGTGCCTGTTCGTCTTGCTTTCTTTTGTCAATGCTAACTATAATTATTATGTACCCTAGATGAATTTTGAAAATCATATTAGAAATTATTTTCAGTTGAACGATTGCTTAAAGTGGAATGTATTGGAAATCCTACGCTACATATCAGATAACGTTAACTTTACAAGTGAAAATTTCAAAACTCTTTAGAGGAACAGCTAAAAATTTTATCGAATCATAAAAGTCTTCGGCTGGCGGCAAAAAATAAGGCTATCAAGCTTCTTGAAAACCTGCCAAGATCACTAAAACGAAAAGATATATTAAATTTCCTTGAAAATCAGGACTTAAAATTTGCTGAGGTTAGTAATGCCTATCTATTGTGTGTATTTTACGATTAATGATAAACTTTTGATGTATTATCATAGGATCGATATAAAGTCAATGTTGAATTAAGTGTTGTTACTGACAAAACGGCCATGACAGGAAAGACTACCGAAAAATTTGCAAGATTAGGTATTAATTATTTAATAAATTCCTGGAAAATAAACCAATCGGATAATTTTATTGAGATCTCTTGATATACTCCAGTCTCTGAATAATGATCATGACATCAGGGGCTCTGAAAATGAACAAGAAGAAAACAAACAGGAAGAAAATAAACAGGAAGAAAATGAAGGCGGAGATGTAGTTGCCGATGAAAGTAGTGTTAGTAAAATTCGTCTCTGGTAATATTTTTTGTTGATATTTTAGGAAAAATAATGATTTTTCTATTTTCATGGACGATGTGTGTTAAGGATATCCTTGAAGACTCGATTCAAGTTTCATCTGTCATAAATGAAGTTACAAAAATCTTTTTAAGTCAATTTCCTAAGACATCTATAATGGACCTACGTCCAAAATCAAAATTTTCATTATTTCTGGATTTGGAACTTCAAAAAACCATTTTGCACGAAGTTTTTGACGAAATTGACAACTATATTACTGATGATATCCACGAATATCTTACGTCGTTTTTCAATGAAGATTTCACTGCGCAGGGCTGGGATAATGCTATCAACAATATGGATTTCAATAGATGCGATTCAGAACACAAAGAATATTAAAAAATTAATACAGGAAACTTTACCCAAATTGTAAGGGCAAGAGAGAACTTACGCAACTTATTATAGTAATATTTGTCCAATTTACTATCTATTTTTATTCGTTTTAGTTTAAAAGCGTTTTCATTGGAGGATCTTAATCCGTTGAGGGATATTACAATCCTGGAGAAACCGCATCTTAATCAGTTTGTACACCCTATAATTGATTCGGCATTGTGGAATTTTGCCAAGGTTAATTACATATTGTAAGTAGCTTTGAACCTACGTTTATCTACATAAATTATTTTATTAATAAAATGCTTTCATATTATATAGTGGTGAAATTCCCCTGAAAGGTCTTGGAACTAGAATACGGGCCGATGGAGTAGGATTTCTCAATGACGTGGTAAACTACCCTATAGTTTGTGGTGAGGGAGCTAGACCGGGTGCACCGCAGAAAAAAAGCGTGGATGATGATATCAAGAATGCAAGTAGCATGGCAGTATTATATAACAATATTGTCATAGAAGAAGCTGATGCACGCCGACAACTTTTAAAGACTTAAGAGTTTATGGTTTAACTGCATTCAAAACCGAATTGTCACTAACATTGATGGATTTTAGAAGTATGCATTACATAAATTTATATTAAAACGCTTCATATAACGAGGAAGTTAATCATTCAATTCCAGGTGTACATAGGTTATTCGAGGTTGATCATTTCTGCCTACCGAAAAACTGGGTTGATATGCCAAACTTTGTGTGGTTATATGAGGCAATAGTCAAATGGGCTGTAAGTACTTACATGCTTTCATTATCTATCTGCATTTTATGTGCTCATCAAATTAACAATGGCATTTTTTGTAAATATAGCTATGTATTAATTCAACACGAAATGGATTGATCGAGCATAGAAAGAAAAGAAGGGTGAGCCGATACTCTGAAGTTGGCATCGCAAAAAAATTGGCATCATTAAGGGATCAACATGAATAGACTTGATTATTTCGTGTTGAGGTTAAAATATTAGTATATTATTTCGGGAATCTGATAGTTAGACTATGTAGAGGATATTTCTTTTGATCTAGTAGATTCACGTTTTGCTCTATGCAATTATGTTTTGTTCAGTGTTCTCTTGATAATTAATAAATTCGCTTAACCATAACAATTACAATAAGACCCAATTCTCGACAATGTTCCAGAAAAACTTAACTATATATGGGTCTTCGTAATACCAAACATACCTTAAAACAATCCAGTTTTCTTCGCAAATTCTTTCTTGAGTAGATCCCGCTCTTGCTAAATTATTTGGGTCACTTCTATGAAAAAAATTCGTATTTTTCGTGTTGCATTTCTTGAACTTTTTTATAAGATTTATTAACTTACCTAGCGTCGCCTAGAAAAAATGGTAGCCGGATAGTTTTGCTGGGTAACACGTGATTTCGGATACTAATCTTTGGGAATTAATTATATTTACAAAAATCACTGACGTAAGCAAATCAATATAATTGTTTTCACGTTGAATAAAGTTAATTTTTTTTTTCTCACACTTTTTTTTTTCCTCTTTTTTTCATAATTTTTTTTTTTACAAACGATTACTTTTTTTATTAAACGCGTTTACTAAATATAATAAAAGATCTTATTACATTTCCTTTTACTATGGTGCATAACATCTATAGTCATCAAAAATTTAGCATAAATTCTAAATGTATCTAGTTATTTATTTTATTAATTATTAAAAAAATAAGCTGATTTTTATATAGATTAAGTTATGCTCTTTCAGAAAATCCGCTTATATTTTGGATTAAAATATAATTTTAAAAGTTATCGGGATTTTAAATCGGGTACATTACTATTATTGGCCAAATTTCGGACTAACTTTGCAGGGGTATTTACATGGGCATGTAGCTATTCAGCCAATAAAAACGCGCTATTTGTATCACGTGACAAAGTAATTTCTTCGCGCAATCGCGTTGAAATTTTATAAAACTTGTTATATAAATTGGAAGTTATATAAATTGAACATTAAAATCTGCATGTGATTTGTATTAATACATTATTCAAATACATTCAATTGCTATTTTTGTATTTAAATTTAAAAAAATGCCACCTCTTTCTAAACAAAAAAGAAAGTCAAAAGATCAGTCACGCACAAAAAATGGTAAATATTATACTAAAAGAACACAATATACAAGCATGGATGATTATAATTTACCGGAAATCCCAATGTCAGTTAATGATAATTGTATAAATGTAAAAGATTTTAAAACTGAAATAAGTGACGCAATTACTGCGGCTCACGAAAATGTTGATAGTGGTAATGAATATATTAATCTTGATTTTGAATTCCTTAATGAAGAATAGGGTGATGATGAAGATAGCAATTGGAATGAAACTGAGGATTTTGCAAAGTTAAAGAAATTAAATTGGTTTGAAAAGAAAATAATCAATTTGAAAAAAATAAAGCGTGAAATATATATGAAAGAAAAGACTCCAAAATCAACCCATTATGATAAATATGGACTAAGTGGCTCATTTATTAAGGCAGCTGCTGGTGTTAAAAAAATTACAAATTTTTTTAAAGTTAGAGGTAATGCTTAAGATAAAGCTTAAGATCCAGAATTAGAAAATACAGAATCAGATTTGAGTAATTCAGATAATAAAATATATTGCTATACTTATCAAATTAATGAAAGAATCCAGTTTTTAAAAGAACAATTAGAAAAGCAACATAATAAAATGACAGTCATTGAATATAATCAGAAAAGAGCTATTTTTAAATATCTTATTCGTTTAGATAATAATAGATGTGGAAAAATGCATGCTAGTTTAGAAACGGCTAAAATAGTTTTTGTTGATAGTGGTCTATAAAAAGTAAGACGTATTTGATATTTTGCAAAATACTAGCTAACTAATAATGAACTTTCAATATCTAAACAGGAAAAACATCAAAAAATTATTAGAATAATTGATAATGAATATATAGCTGAAAGATGCTGAATTTGGATTCATAAACAAAATTATAATATTTACTTTAGCTTTATTTAAGAAATTTGTTGAATAAGAACTATTACCCAGTATTAATATTATAAAAAAAACTATTACCAATCAGTGGTCATATCAGGATAAGGCAAATTACTTGCCGATCACTAATTGAAATTGTGTGTAATATTAATAATAAGAAATGAATGGTCTAATGCAGAGTTAGAAAATTAGTACAGTTAGTACAGCTTAGTACAGTTTAGTACACATAATAATTAATATAAAATTTAGTATAGTACAATACAAGTACAAGGTCAAAATTTGCCTAGTACATACAAATTTCCCAATTCTGGTCTAATGTAACGTGATATTAGATCAAATAATGAACTAAAAAATCTTAAGAACTTTTCAATTTAAAAGTTTCTGATAATTTATTCTAATGCCTTTTTTTTATAATATAATATTTGTATAAAAACTTTATATGTGGTTAACTTTTCCTTATTTTTTGACTTTGACCCTGAGATGCAAGTTTATATAATTTTCAAAATCTATTTTAAATGTATGACTACATGTATCTTTATAAGCACAATCGAAATGCTTAGACATAAAAAGGTAGTTAGAATAGTGATTTTTGAGGCAAATAGCTAATTTCTATTTTATCAATTAGTTAACCTGTAGAAATTGTATTTATGTCCTTTATATTGTTAACAAATTTAATAAACAAATGAAAATATTGGTTTATTTTAGCGGTTTTGCAAACACAAACTATTTATTTTATCACTACCTAATTTAATCAGTTCATGGACTCACGACCAACTCTACCATGGTTAATTATATTTTATTATTCACTTGTTCTTATAATAATTCTACCACTCTCACACCTTTTTTACAGTCCAAACTTCTGACAATTTCTCACGAACAGAAGCAATAGCATCATCTGAAAGGTAATTTTTGTATATTTTTAATGCACAAAGAATTGCTGTTTCATTTTCAGTAGTTCGATATCTGATACCTGTCATTTTTTTTTATTTAGATTATAGTTCGATAGTAGTTATTGTTTCATTTAAATTTTCTACTGCTGGTTATG